CCACAGCAGCCAGTGGGGGTTCCCCCAGAGCCAGCAGCATAGAAACCAGCCAGGTACCCCCACTACGTCACACCCCCTCCCCCTTCTCCAGGCCCTGCAGGGACACAAGTGACCAAGTGACACGAAGCTAAAAGGACGAGGCGGGGGAATCTCTTCTGTGGTCACTGAAGGGACAGATCCGCACGGGGGCAGCAAAGTGTCACGGTCGCTTCGGAAACGTTTCTTCCCAGAGACTGAATCGGGGAATAATCACCAGGAATTATTGGCCTCAGCTCTGCAGGCTGGGCTGGCTCTTCAGCGCGAGGCTCTGCCCAGACTAATCCCTTCCCAATCAGCATGAGATCGGTGCCCAGCGCTCCTTGGAAGGTCTGAGATCACCGCTCACAGGTAGATTTCCCCACTGGAGAGTGCCCGTGTTTACACATTACTGGACTCTGTGTTGTGTCAGTTTCACATCCACTGGGTGTGACATTGTGACAACCCGACACAGGGCACCGTAACATTCAGCTTCCTCAATTGTCCCTTAGCTCACATGAACGCCCCGCTGAGATCAAAGTAGCTCCAGTGTTATCCTAGATGGGGCCCAAATTCCATTGATCTGCTCCGGCCTCCTCCGTGGCTGTGTCCCTCCAGATTCTGAGTTCATTTATTTGTACGTGTGGGCAAAGCCGCGCTTTCGTCACACGATGTAGCCACGCTCATATGCAAATTAAGTAGGGAAACTGCCTGATAAAGAACAGCCAGGGAGCCTCGCCAACAGGCGGCGGGTTTCCTGCTTTGCAGCGCACAAGGTGGTGGAGGAGAATGACAATGATCGGTCTGGGGTTCTGTTTCCTTCTGGCGGCTGTCTCAGGTAAGGGGATGGATGCAGGTGTCTGCTGGGCACAGCTGGGCCGAGAGAGCAAAGATGGTTTGAAGATGAAGATGTAGGAGGTGGATCAGGAACTCTGGAATCTAAATCCCAGCTCTGAGCAGATCGCATGAGATGGAGTTTTAAAGCCAAATGATGCCCACGTTTCATTACTCTGTATTAAAAATCCCGTACACAGCATTGAAAAGCCTCCAGAGCAGATTGTGCCTCGGTTTCCCCTTTGCCAAATGGGGATAATTGTCCTTCCCTGCTGCACAGGAATATGACGGAGACAAATTCTCTCTTATTAAAAGGCAGATCAGAGACTGCCTTTAGGAGGCAAGACAAGGGCTTGAATAAGGCCGGGAAGAGGAGCATTTGTATTGTTTTTCTACAGGTGTCATCTCCCAAATCCAGCTGAGCCAGTCTGGGGCAGAAATCAAGAAGCCCGGAGAGTCCGTGAAGGTGACATGTAAAACCTCCGGCTACAGCTTTACCGACTATCACATTAGCTGGGTCTGGCAGGCTCCCGGGGAAAGCCTGGAGTGGCTGGGATACATCTATC